CAAAGGGACATATATGAGAAATAGGCGATTTTTCGTTTTCAGGGAATTTATGTCGCAAAACATCAAATTTTTTACGCCCTCTAATTGGCGCATATGAACTGCCAGTAGTTTCTGAGATACACATTTTTCTTTAAGACGTATGTTTTGAAAGAAGAAATATGCATCTTCCAAAAAGGCGTAGGTATATCATATACGCTTGTAAAATTTAAGAAATTCAATATACGGCCATTAGTGAAATTAACGACGATATATGCTTTGTATGCGACATAAATTTTTATTTTTATCATACGTCTCATGTTTGAGTATGCTTGGTAGTCCAAGTTTGAGCCACTTTTTTTGTGAAGCCTATTCTTCTCATTAATATTGTTTATTATTTCTTTGGTGTACCAGTTGGCAGTTGGGGTACACAACTCTATTTGATTTTTTATTATACAACGGGACAGATTGGTCAAAAATGCTGTAAAGTGTATTATAGAAATGATTGACGGCTTGATTAACATTAGTTTCATTGATTAAAGAGTCCCAATTTGCGACAGGTAGTAGATTATACACCAGGTTAAAATCGGCCTTATTGAAGTTATAGTTTCTACTTGTGTTACAGGTTGCGAAGTCACTTAAACCCGGCATCTGGGTTTACCTGCATGTCAAATGTAATGTCGTTAAGAAGGGTGGGGTGTGCAACATCCTCCGGGACAAGGGGAAGATGATCTCTAGTTACCACACATTCAAAGTTAGCAATAACAAGATCCAATATGTTAACCGATATGTTTGCGAAAGTGTTAAATTATGTTAGGCCCCCTAGCGCTAAAACATCATTTTTCTCTTAATTTTTGTGTTGGGATTGAAATCACCGATAAAAGCAACTTTGTTGTTCTGAATAGGTTCATATGTGGAGAAAATTTCAAATAGGCTCTGGTGTGAGTAAGGTGGAATATATATACTAAAAATAAATAGGGTAGAGTTATATCTATATCGTTAGATTTTCCAGTTCTTCCAGGTTGAGCTTTGACGAGGTAAGGTCGTGCCTAACACCAAGAAGCACAGCTCCATCTCTTGTGACATCCATGAGAAGAAGCCTGCGGCCAGCCCTATAGACAGCATAGTTATCATTGAACAATTGAATATCAAATACACCATCCAAGTTTCCGATATTGCCACGACATGGCTCTCACAGTGAGAAACCGATTTATAAAATACAGTGGTTTTAGTGTTTTAAGCCACTAGCATTTTGGTATGTTATTTGAATATTCCTGCTAGATAACCCAATCAGTTTAAATTTACAGCTTGATTAGTGGGGATAGTTGTTGGTGATCTATTTTTGTAAACAATCCTTAGGTTCGCTCACCAGCTGTAACACGTTTATCCATTTGTTGTTTGAGCTTACGATACTCTTGGACTTGCTGAGTAGTCTTGTCTTCCCTAATTGACAGATGCTTGAGGTTGTTATGTGTTCTGAGCTCATTTGAGTTGCGTAGTATATCATTTGCTAAGTTACTTGAGCTGCATATCACCTTTATTGGCTTATTCCCACCAGGAATCACTCTTCCCAAGCGAAATACTTGAAGATCGGCTCCAGCTTCCCGCCCGAGGCAGTGGTCAGTCACGCTACTAGCGATCACCTCATTGATGTTGGTAGTCAACTCTGGGCAATTGAAAATTATGAAGTTGTATCGGTGGCTTTTTCTCTACTCAAGTTCATAAAACGGATTCTCAATTGCAATTTGTGGTGGTCTGGGTTCAGACACACTCGATGCGGCATCACCATCCGAAGAGTAGGTGCTTCATGAAGTGCAGACAGTTCAGATACCAGGGTCTTGATTCTAAGCTCCAGGAGACTGACATTAGACTTAAGAATAACGTTTTTGAGATAAGTATTTTCTACTTCGGTTGCTTTATTGACGCTGCTAGCAGAAGGCCAATGACTTATAGTCGGTGTTGGGGGGCTGACTATTGATGCTAGAGAGCAGAGGAGTAGGAGTGAGTTTGTCCGTTAGGTTTTTATCCTTGCATTCAGGACACCAAAATAAGCAGATACGAGTTTGTAGTCAAATGGCTCGTATCTCAGTTGCAGTTTTTACTCCACTACAGGTTTTGCATATTGGCCTGTTACAGAGGAATCGCATGGAAAACGGAAAATTTCTATCTTCCTTGGAAATGCAGCTTGTGTTGCATAGGTAGCAAATTTGGGGCAGATTTTGACTCATGCGTGAAGTTTAGTGGATCTAACCTCGGATAAGTGTTATATACTTTCGGTCCCAGTGGTAGAGGTGGAATTTCCCCCGATAATATTTCCAAAAACCTGGTTCCCCAGGAAATTCCAAAACCTACGTCACCAACCTGCGAAAAGTGACGCTTAACCCAGCGTAGTGATAACCTTCTGTATGGTATAATGGATAGAATTGTAGGGTTAGTAATTCTAAGCAAAATTCATATATTTTTAGGGGGGTTTTCCGATGAGTTGAGGCGCAAAATGCGTTAGAGCTTACGAATGCACGGCCCTTTTTTCTCCAGTGATAAAAATCGGTCTACTAAATGAGAAGTAGGTAAGTATACTGAAGTTACGTAATAAAATAGTCGGGCTAATCTGTGAGTATGGATAATACGTCTGGCAAGTGAAAAATTGAAGATCCTAAAAATTTCAGCCAGACTCACTTTTCACTATCTGAGATAAGCCAAATTGCTATTTTCATATAGGTACTTTATTTTCCATTGCAGTGAATGTGAACAGAAAAAATTAAGGAGCGAATGTTGGTTTGCGAGAGACGCGGATCTGCAGACAAAGGAATTTGCGCGGTGATATGGTTGATAGAAGGTTGGGATGTTTCTCGTAATAAAAGGTGGTATATATGTACATATAAGTCGATCCTGGAAGTGAGATAGGGACAGTCAACAAGGGAGTTGAGAATTTTGAAAAGAAGTAGGTTAAGACTTCTTCTTTCTTAAAGTGATGACATATTTAGCCTTTGACACATTTCTTTGTAGTTACATTCAGTGTCTCTATAGAGTTTGAAATGAATATGATGTATAAATTTCTTCTGCACTCGCTCAATTTTGTGGATATGGAAAGCATACTAAGGGTCCCATACAGAGGTGGCATAATCCAAGAGACTTCTAACAAGACTGCAATATAGAATTTTAGTGTACAGTAACAGAGTCAGAAATATTACGTTTAATAAATCCCAACCTTCTCAGTGAATTACCTATAATTGATGTTATGTGAGAGGAAAACGATACTTTATCATCAAGAATAATTCCAAGATCCTTTATGTTTACAACTGATGGTAACGTTGCTCCGTTGAATGAAAATTAGTTTTAACTGTACGACGAGAAAATATTATGAGATTGCACTTAGAGATATTAACATGCATACCATTATCACGACACCAAGCCACAAATCTGTGGATATCCTCCTGCAAAGCAATGCAGTCGTTAAGATCGGATATTACTGTAGACATTTTTAGATCGTTTCCAAAGACTGGAAGCAGGATGCAACTTCATTGATAAAGATATTAAGAAGAAGTGGTCCAATGTGGGACCCCAGACGGCACAGGAATTTCGTTAGACAGGAAATTGTTAATTTTCACAATTTTAATCCTATTCGAAAGGTAGCCGTCCAGGGAGCAGAGTAAGGGTTCATTTATACCCATCGTTTTAAGTTTGTCTATCAATACATTATGTAGAACCTTAGTAGTAGTAGTAGTAGTAGTAGTAGTAGTAAATATGCTTTATTGTCCAAGAATACAAAAATCTTATTGACAAAGCTAACCCAACTTAAATTAAATTTTACAACTAAACCTAGAAACCAGCAAGTCAACAATATCAATCAAATTAAAATTACCGTAGGCAATAATTTACAAAAATAATAAATACATTCATTTAACACAACATTTCTTGACATAGGTTTCAAAGACTAGTGGACACAATCAAAAGCCTTGGAGAAGTCTGTGTAGACGCAATGTACCTCCGCTCCACTCTCCAAGGCCTGCAATACAAATTGAAAATAGGTAAGGAGATAAGTTCAGTATTTCCACCCACACAGAAGCCAAACGGCTGGTTAATAATTTCAGGAGAGAATAGGGAGCTTATAGATATTTAGTAACAAGGTTTTCCAAAATTTTAGGGATGGTATTGATGATGCAAATGGGGCGGTAACTTTTTATGTTGGACTTGTATCCAGATTTATGTATTGGGACGAGAAAACTTGTTTTCCAGAAGATCCACTTTCCAAAGATTTATTGAATATGATGTGTAGGGGCAGGGGCCTAGCGAGAATAAAGGGGCCATTTTCACGAAAGACAGGATGGATATTATCAGGACCCGGACCTGGGTGGGTCAACTACGCCAATTGCTGTCAGAAACCTATACTTGCTTTGCCATTACCGCCAATTACTATTTCGCATCCATAATTTCATTGTTGGTGGACGGAAACTTTATCAAGTACATAATTTGATTGCGCCACTATGCTGTCAATTACGGCAGTCACTCTTCTGTAGCTTCGTAGCTTGACTTGTACCCAGTTCTCGACCAATGCCTTTCTGATACCCAGGGTCACTCAGATAGCGTTAACATATCTGCATTTTTGGGACGGATGATAACGCACTTCCTCGAGATTCAGCATTTATTCCCAAATATTTGTTGGCAAGCCATTGCATATTTTCATCTTCAAACCGGTATAATTCTTTGTAATCACGCAACGGTAGGTACTGATAAACGCTGCTTGTAGTGTTAAATCTCTCTCAGTTCTACAACATCTGCCATCGCTACAACTGATCCTACACGACTGAGTCTGCTACTGACCACACTGGAAATTATTGAAGGTTTTCCTTTTTAGGTAACGTTTATGAATAACCAATTACTTTTTGTGAAAAACATGCTCATACTAAGTATAAGGTTTTACTCGGAATATTATGAATGCGAGCTGAAGAATTTCCTTTATATTCTGCAAGTATAAGCATAACCTTTTTTTTATGAATACGGCCCAATAATTCAACAAAACAATTTTAGGATTTCAATATGTATATTTTTATGATAATCAGTAGATTAGATAAAAGAAGCATAATATTAGACAATTTCCTACAAAAGGAACCCGTAATTGTAAAGGCCATTTTACACACATTTATACTTAATCCTCTAACACACTACATTTATTTCATTTCTCTCGTTTGACTCTTTTATACCTAGCCAATTCTCCTTCATAACTTTGAGGCAAATCGCCGAATAAATCCACATCAGACATGTCCTTTAAACTTAGCATTTTATAATTATTATTAGCATTATCTGACCTTTTTACTCTTGCTATAGGAAGCATGCTTCGTTTTCTTATAGCTAATAAATGGTTAAGTACAGGACCGCCTCCATGAATAGCTACCAAATCGATAAAGCTAGCTTGTCGTTTTTCTCTTGGTTCTTGAGCATTGGTAAGTCTATAAATATCAGGGTCCAAGTCCAACATATAACCTCCATCTCTAAGCCCAAGCAGAATATTAGTTTTAATTTTACCATTACCATTGCTAGGTAATATTTGCATTGAAGCTTTTGATTTGTCTTCGCTAGAAGGTGAGTCGGCTAAAACAGGAGCCCCATCAAAATAAACTATATTTGAACCATCAACATTAGTCAGATGTTGTGGAGAGTTGGGTTGTTCTTGGTTGGCTCTCTTCTCTCTAGATGGTTCTAGATCTTCCTCATTATTCAAGTCATAGGTTTGAAATTCTGGATTGCTGTTGAAGTCAGTTCTGTATTCTTTAAGGCTACGACTAAGATAGGAATTTGTTGTTGTTGATCTAGGGTCAAAATCTGAAACAAGAGAATTTTGTGTTTGGTTTTAATAGATTAGTATTGATGAGATTACCTTGTCTTTTTTTATTATTTGTTTTTTTATCAGCTTTAAAGTTGTCATGAGAATTCAAGTCAATTACTAAATTTGCAGGATTTTCCTTATTTTTCGCCATTAGACTAGCGTCTATGATTTTTTCTTCTACCAGTGGTGCTACGTTTTTTTTGAAAGTTTCTTCGTTAATTGTTTTTTCAAATTGAGCATACTGTCTATCCATATCCAAGCTTCTCCGTTTTCTTCTTCTCGTTCTTATGTGAGGTACCATATTATTATCACCAAACAAAACTGGGTCTAAATCGGTAGTTTCTTGGTCTTCTAAGGAACTAACATCTTTTAAAGCGTTTCTTTTTTTCCTACAAATCAATCATCAAATGATTAGGTTCCAGTTGAAGGCAGCAGCCAGTAAAACAAAATTTAATGTTTCGCAAACAAAATAGAGAATGCAAAAGTGTGTAGACGTCCTAAACATTTTACCTTTGAGCTTTTTCCTTTTCCTTCTTATGTTCATTAACATTATCAGCAAATTCTTCATTATCATCACTATTCTTTTTAAGTTGTTCTATTTCATTTTTCACTTCCGCTTTGATCTTTTGCAATCTCTGCTTAATTTGTTGTTCCATTTGTTTCTGTACATCTTCCGATCGTTTTTCCCTTCCGTTACTTCCAACATCCACTTCAATTGGTTTTTCAATTTCCGAACTTTTATCATCAAAAAGAAGTTTCTCAGATTCTTCTGCCATTTGTTTGTTTTCATTTTCTACTTTATTTTCTCTGTCATTACTTGCAACTTCAGACTCTTTTTCATCGCATTCCCCATTGGCAAACAATTCCTGCTTTTTTGATTTCGGTTCAGGAAATGCGATGGCGTCATAGTGCCTTGTGACTTCATTTTCACGTTTCAATCTATCATTTACAGAATCTTCCATCTACAAAAAAAAATATAATAATTTCTGCCAAACGAATTCTAATTAATTAGGTACTCTTATTAAATTGATTTTATTAGTTCCTAGTTCCAAGTCTTCATCTTCGACAATGTTAAGGTCTCGTTTTTCTTCTGAATGAGAATCGTCTTTGGATTTTTCATTCGTCATCGCAGCTTCAGCATGATTAGATTTATCAAGTTGTTGGTCAGTATTCAATTTGCTATTAGCTTGAGCATCTTCACATTTTTCTTTGGCATGATTAGATTGGTCACTGTTATCAGCTTGATAATTGTCGCGTTTTTCTTCAGCATGATGAGATTCGTCAGTATTATCAGCTTGAGCATTGTCGCGTTTTTCTTCACCATGCTGGGATGATTCAGCAATTGGTTTATTAAAATTTTGTTCATCTGTATGAGAATTCTCGTTCAGTTCCAAATCAGCTTTACGTTTTTCATCAATATGCTCATTTTGTTGATCGTCTATATGAGAATCTTCAATCAGTCCCATATCGTGTAACACAGTTCTTAATTCACTTTCAGCGCCAACTTCATTTGCTTGCATCTTCAATAATGTCGAGCTAAAAGTAAAATTTACAAAATAAAAAACTAAAATAACCAAAAAAAATTACCTTAATGAGTTCATATGTTTGGAATTTAATAATGCTGGTTTTTTCTTCGTGTGCTTCAACTCTCGTTTCTGTAAGTTTTTAGCCGCCTTTTGACTCTCAACTTTAGTGTCGATTTTAAATTTGGCGAAAATATAGGGATAATTTCTTTCGCTGAAATCAGCTGCTTGAGTTTCGGTATCTCTTTTATCAATTTCTTCAGAGTCTGCTTTTTGTATTGGACTTATATCGACCGGAATACTTTCTTCGATGTGGATCGGTAAGAGTCGATAACTACCTTGATATGACTAAAAAAAATTATTTTGTTAGGTTTTTTTTTTTTAAATCTGGATAATGTGGTTTACTTGTAAAATGCCAACAGGTTCCTCGTTTTTGTACATAACTGCACATTGCTTTCTTTTATTTAAACTATCTTCAAGGGCCCTCTTTCCTCGTGTATATCCTTCCATGTCGCCTTTTTTTGACTGAATTTCTTGCTCTTTTGCTTTATCTTCTGATTTTACTTGTTCAAGTTCACTTTAAAATTTTAATAAATATTAAGTTCCAGGATTTTATTAAATAATCACTCAACGAACCTGTTTAAACCTTCAATTGCTGGAAGCATTTTCGACAGGGCACACTGAAGAAGTAACATAACACTTAAATATTTACAAAAAACATGTAAATTCATAATATAAAAGGATTTGTATAGTTTAAGTACAGTGGCATGTCTTTTATATTGACGTCTTAGTTTGGCATGTTTAAATGTCAGATTTATTAGTAATTTTTTTTTGCAAAGAGTTGATGGAGTGCACCTGCAAGGTGTTGCTTTAATAATTATAGTTATAGGGAGAAATAGCACATGATAATTCAAAATCAGAAGAAAAAAGTATGAAACTTGATTCAACATAAAAAATCGAACAATTTCAGTATAAAACTACTAGTATCGAAACATACACAACAGATATCGAATTAAAGGGTCATTTACATCCACTTAACGTAACAACGTACGGAAAATTATAATCACCGTTCCAAACTTGTGTGTTTACAATGAAGATAATTTTCCTACGTATAATCACCAATGACATTGATAATCACAGACTTGCTCAATCTGTCTGTCAACGCACGGATTTCCTTATGTTGAAGTTGGTTCAACTCTTCCGTGTAACACTTTAAGTTTCTTAATTTTTAAATGGATGTAAACAACTACATATTAGTACACGATCTTCAACTTTTCTTTATTATCAATTTTCGTACGTTAAGTTAAGTGGATGTAAATGACCCTTTAAACTGACTCACCTAAACTACTACTTCGCGCTATTTATAGCAGACAGTGTACAACAGGGTGTCCCAATTTGGATGGTTTTAAATTGAAACGTCAATTTCTGATCCAGATACGAAAGAATGATCCCCCCACTCTGAGGCTCAAATTTCATGAAATCTTGATTGGTGTAAACCGCATTTTGATATCTTCAACCGTTTGGCCTCTAGAGGGCGATTCTCGATTTTGAACAATCAATACTGTGAAACCTTCATAACTTTTTTGTTAACGAAAATAATTAATTGATTTCCGTAAGAACTTTCTAGAAGAACTTTTTTAAGCAGAATTCAGTAATTTTCTTAGTTTTTTTCTATTTGGCCCTGATTTCGAGAGATGGACCAGCCCGACTATTTTCAATAGGACACCCTATACATATATTAATAGCTCATTGGAAAGCTCTGCTTTTGCAAATTTTAATGATACATTTTCAATAAGCGTGTCTTTAACAGTTTTGGAGAAAAAAAATTATTTTAGTGTTTTTTATAAGAAACAATGTGTTAGATAGGTAACTGTAAGGAAAATGAGAAAGGCCTCTTGAACCTATCGAACTTAGTATCATTGAAATCAGCAAAAGCAGAGCTTTCCAATGAGCTATTGATATACAGTGAGCACGTAAAGGTTGGAATAAAATCTATAAAATATACAGGGTGGATATTTTTCAAAAAATTTCGGACACGTCAATTTTTGATTTTATTGGCCGTTTTTGTTTGATGTACCATATATACAGGGTGACCCAAAAACAAGTTAAGACAGCTAACTTTATTTTTTTAAACGAAAACACCAGTTTTTTATTTCATTTTTAAATTCTACGTCAAATTCTAAACATATTTTATATAGGCCTATTCTGGTTTGGGAAAAGGATCGTTCTAGAATGGTTCAAAATAGTCGGACAGTTTATCAATCAACGAAATGACAACAACTCGGCTATCACAAATTTCAATAATAAACTGTGGCATTGTTTTGAACCGTTCTAGAACTGTCCTTTTTCCAAACCCGACTAGGCCGAATATATCATGTCCTATACCTATTTTCAACCATTTCGGAAATATTGACAGTGGAAAATTGACTTTTTTGCAACTTTGACAGGCTGTAAAACCTAAACGGTTATTTTTAGAGCAAAGCCAATCACACATTCTTGCTTTAGTTTTCCATAAAATATCATTTGACACCAACTTTAAATTTAATCCATTATGGTTAAAAATTCCGGTTAAATTTAATCTCCGGTTAAATTCTAAGTTGTTGTCAAATGATAGTTTATGGAAAACTAAGAATTTATGATCGGTTTTGCTCTAAAATTAACCGTTTAGGTTCTACAGCCTGTCAAAGTTGCAAAAAAGTCAATTTTCAACTGTCAATATTTCCGAAAATGTTGAAGATAGGTATAGGATATGATACATGAAATAGGTTCAGAATTTAACGTAGAACTTGAAAATGAAATACAAAATTGGTGAATTCATTCAAAAAAATAAAGTTAGCTGTCATAACTTGTTTTAGAGTCACCCTGTATACATGGTATTATCATCAAAAAAACGGCCACTAAAATCAAAAATTGACTTGTCCGAGGTTTTTTGAAAAATATCCACCCTGTATATTTTATAGATTTTATTCCAACCTTTACGTGCTCACTGTATAAGGTGTCCTACTGAAAAAAATCGGACTTTGGTCAATATTGTAATGATCCGCGAAAAATAAACCCGTAATTTACAATGTAATCAAATAATCAAAAATTGAATCTCCAATAATTCACATCAGTATCAATAAATTGAAAATGAAAAAAATTAGGGTTGACCCCAAATTAATTATAGTTATTTATGTATCAAGGGTACTAAGTAGATGATTATGCCCTGAGGGCGACAGTCTTACAAAGCCGAGGGCCTTCCGAGGGTTCGTAAGTCGCCCGAGGGTATATATATCTATTAGTACCCGTGGTTAGTGGTGGGAAAATATCGAATTCAAAAACTATCGATATATCGATAGTACTATCGGTTTAAAAATATAACCTAGAACTGAAATGAAAATTGAAGATTCTAATAGTATTGGTACCTACAAAAATAATTATTTAACTACAACGCTTTAAGAAAGCAACCATTTATTTTGATTCAACATATTTATATCTTTAGATTTAAGTTTGGTTCTTCTAACTGTCAAAATATTACCAGCCTTCGAGAATAACCTTTCCGAAATGGCGCAAAATGGAAGCGCCCCCCTACGTCGGCCATCTTTCACTTCGTCACTCCTGTCAGAATTCAGCATAGCTGTCGACCACTGTCACCACTCCTAGTCAGTAAGCGCTTTCTTTTATTCACCGATGGCTCCATAATATCAATGACCTGTCTATCTTTGTCTACAGATGGATTGTCAACAGATGGATCCATCGATGAATAAAAGAATTCGCCCAGTGTCACCAATTTAATAATACAAAATTTGATAGTATTCGATAGTCTAGAGAAAATTATCGATAGTTCGATAATTTTAATTCCGCAACGAGCTATCGATATATCGATAGTTTCATTCGATAGTTTCCCACCTCTATCGGTGGTGCACAGTGCCGTAACTAGGGCGTGGCGAAGGTGGCATTTGCCACAGGCGCAAGCTTCAGAAGGGCGCAGTCTGCCTCTAATCGTTAAGAGTAAAGCGCCCTTTGCGCAACACACCAAAACTTCGAAGAGCGCTTTCCAGATTTTACTCTTGATACAGCGAAATAGATATTGATTTATTGCAATTTCCAACTTCCAGAGATAAAAGCAAAATTGCATTTCAAGTAGTTTTATCCTAGAGCTGGATTTTCTTGATTCATTGCTTTATTCTGACTCTGGAAATTGCCTTTGGAAGGATTAGAGGTCAAGAAGAGCCTTGTCCACTAATTTCTAGCATCCAGAAACAAATATATTCCGAAAATGCAATTTTGAATTTACTATTATAGGCTTGAGTTTTACTTCTGAGATCCTTGAGGGCTGGAAGTTGCCATGAGAGAATTTTTTTGACGTGTTGAAAAGCTAGAAGAGTTTGTTAAGGCAATTTATGACTTGGAAAGAGCGCTTCCGGATTTTATTCTTGATACAGCGAAATAAATATTGATTTATTGATATGGTATGGTACTAAAACAACCCAGAGGAAGATAGAAACCAAAAATGCCTGGTTAGGAAGAATATTACGAAGCCCATCTTTTCCAAAACACATTTGAAAATTGAACTCTTGCAAGTCATTCAGGCAATTATAACACAGATTGAAGAATAATTTCTTGTTCTTAATACTGTGATAGCTGATTTCGGTTTTTCTCAGTGGTCGTGCTATCGAGGAGATGACTTTAAGGTTAAAAAAAAGCTAGAATTGGCAAATAGAATAGAATTTTTGAAATCCTAAGGCGAAGAACTGCTTGAAAATATTTATCTCAACATATGGACAGTTTTAACCTCGGCTTTAACAATATTTCTAAGCCTTCCATTGACTACTGCTACGTGTGAGCGTTCCTTTAGTAAGCTTAAGCTTATACAGGATACAGGGTGTCCGGAATAACTTGAAGTACATGGGGCAATTTGAATAATACAAAAAATTCACACTTTTTTCTTTTTTGCCCTGTATATCCTTTGCTATTCCGAGTTCAAAGAAGTTGATGACAGATTATTTGTAGGCTTTTGATTGCGTAAATATTCCCCATTTGGTCCACCCTGTATCTTCAATGGTTTCCAAAACCCCCATGTACTTCAAGTATTCAACTAATTTTAATTTTATATCAGTTACCCACTTCTCTACATTGGATATCAAGCGGAGGCGCAAATTAATAAGCTGCCACAGGCGCAAACAGGTCTAGTTACGGCTCTGGTGGTGCATACAAACTTTTATGTCAAACCATTTGATGTTGAAAAAAGTATCACTTCGTAAATTGTCATCAGTGTGCAAACATCATCATTTTTTGACAATTGTACAATGTTATTGAATAATAAGTTAATCGAAAACTGTTTTTTGCGTCTTTATGCCCGCGCGGGCCATAATGTGTACTTTATGCCCGCACGGGCATAAAGTAATGACTTATGTAGATAGTATCTAAGGTATAAAAACACAATAATGTATTGGTATGAGTTAAGCTACATCCTCAATCAATCTGGTAGCGAAGTGGCACTTTGGCACGCGTGCTGGGAAATTGATACCCATCCTCAATGCTGTCAAATTTCAGTCTGCTGTGCGTGTAGTACGGTCACATACCGTGCGTTCGGTATATTGATCTGAGTTCTCCGAGCATGAATTTACCGTTCGTTTATTTAAAAAGTGAACTCGGTGCAGGCTCATTCACGTTCGTTTAATAAAATTTCGAGCCCTCTGATCATAGGCAACCTCTGATACAGCATTTAACTGCTCTGTGCGCTCGCTGGTCACGTGATTACGGCTCCGCTCTGCTCTTTGAGCAAAATACCGAACGCAAGCATAACCTACATTATTTTTCACCGTACTGCGC